ATTTATTTATTTGACAGAGACACAGTGAGAGAGGGAACACAAGCAGGGGGAGTGGCAGAGGGAGAAGCAGGCTTCCCTTGGAGCAGGGAGCCCGACGCGGGCGATCCCAGGACCCTGGGGTCATGACCTGAGCTGAAGGCAGACGCTTAACAACTGAGCCACCCAGTGCCCCTATTTTGAGCTGATTTTTATATGAGGTATGAGGTTAGGTCAAGATTTATTTTGTTGTCTGTAGATACTATTTCGGCACCATTAGTTTGAAAAGACTGTATCTCCTCCATTGAAGATCTTTTGCACTTTTGTCACAAATCTGTTAGTCATACTTGTGTGGGCTGTTCCTGAGTTCTCTGTTCCATTACTTTGTCTGAGTCCCTCCACCAATAACACATAGTTTTTATTACTGTGGCTATATAATCAGTCTTGAAATCAGGTAGAGTGATTCTTCTCACATGATTCTTGTTCAGAATTGTTTTGGCTCGTGCTGGCTTCCAGAGCACATATACTAAAATCGGAATGATACAGAGATTAGCATGGCCCCTGCGCAAGGATAACTTGCAGATTCTTGAAGCGTTCCATGTTTTTAAATGGTTATCAGAGATAAAGACTTAAATGCTTGTTGAAAACTGGTAAGAAAAAAAAATTGTTTTGGCTCTTCTAGTTCCTTTGCCTTTCCATATAAATTTTAGAATGATTTTGTTTGTATCTACAAAAAAAAATCTTGCCAGTATTTTGATAGGAATTGCATCAAACCTGTGTGTCAATTTGGGGAGAATTGGCATCATTACTATGTTAAGGGTTCCAGTCCATGGGTATGGAATGTCTCTGTTTATTTACGTCTTTGATTTCTTCATCATTGTCTTGTAGATTTCACTTTTTATCATTTCCTTTCTGTATAGAGAACTTCCTTTTGTTATTCTTTTAGGGTAGGGCTGCTGGTGACAAATTTTCTTCATTTCCTTCATCTGAGAATGTCTTGATTTCCCCATCATTCCTGAAACATATTTTCACTGGATAGAGAATTCTGGTTTGACTGTTCTTTTGTATTTGAAAAATGTTGTATCATTTCCTTTTGGCTTCCATGCTCCTTGATGAAAAAAAGTGTAATTAATACATTGTTTCTCTGGCTACATTCAAGATTTTTGTTTTATGTCTTCGTTTAGAAGTTTGATATGATGTGCTGTGGCATGGATATCTTTGCATATATCCTATTTGGAGGTCACACTGAATCTGTGTGTGTGTGTGTGTGTGTGTGTGTTTTGCCAAATTTGGGCAATTTTCAGTCATTGCTTTTTTGAATACTTTTTAGCCCCATCCATCTTCTCTTCTGGGTCTCTAATGACATAAATGTAAGTTTTTTTTTTTTTTTTAAGTCCATAAATTCCTGAGGCCTTTTTTTGGGAAGGGGGGGTGTCTGTTTTCTCATAGATTGGGTAATTTCTATGTTCTGTCTTCTAGTTCACTGGTTATTTCTTCTGTTTCCCTATTCAGTTGTCCCATTTTTTTTTCCAGTTTAATAATAAAGTTTAATAACTTTTTAGTTCTCAAAGTTCCATTTGTTTTTTTCTTCATATCATATATATTTGCTGAGACTTCCTATTTTTTTTCATTAAGTGTGTTTGTAATTACTCAAGAATTTTTATGATGGCTGCTTTGAAATCCTTGTTTGATAATTCTAACATCTGTGCCATCTTGGTGTTGAAATTTGTTTTTTTATCATTCAGTTTGCAATCTTGATTCTTGGTATTATGTGTGATATTTTTTATTGAAACTTGGACGTTACAAGACTGGATTTTATTTAAATCTTGTGCTATCACAGGACTTTTCTGGCAGCATTCTAGTGGATAAAACATGGTATTGCCTTGTTACTGCTGGTGAGGATAGAAGTCCAAGTTCTCTACTTAGCCTCTGTTGATGGCCAGTGATGGTGAAGGAAGGAGCTGTCCCATTATTGCTCGGTAAAGTGTGGGAGTTTAGGCTCCCCCCTAGGTCTTTGCTGATACCATCCTGGTTGGGAGAGGGAGGGGGCACCTTATTACTGCTATTCACCTGTATTCTACTGATGTTGTGGCAAGGTAGTCATGTTACCCTTGAGCAATGGTGAAAAGTCCCAGCTTGACTAGTCTCCAGTACTACCCAAGGGGGAAGGGATAGAGTTTTTTGTTACCACAGCATGAGTGTGAAATACCAGACTTCTTATGAGGTCTTCATTGACTGTGAGGGTGTACTCTCATTACTACTGAGTGGTAAGGGTCCTGCCTCTCCAGTAGGTTCTGATAACTCCCCAACAATGAGAGGATGAGATTCCTTCTTACTGCTAGTTGTGGATGAAATTCTGGGCTCAGGATGGTCTTCTCCGACACCACCCTGACAGCAGGATTTAGAATGCTACATTATGTCCCTGCAAGAGTAAAAGTCTAGGCTGTCTACTTGACAGTTGCTGAGGGGGGGTGGGGAACGGAGGCTGCAGTTTTTATCTGTGCTGTTTGGCTTGGAGCAGATTGGTTATTGTCTAAAATTTTCTTTTTTGCTAGGATACCCTTTTTCTTGTCTTTTGGTTAGAGAAAGTAGGTTTTTTTGGAGGATTTTTGGTTTTCCCCCCTCTTGTCTGTGCTTATTGGTGTTTCTGAGTTGCTGCCTTCTCTAGTATCTAGTCTAGGATAGAAATGGAAAAGAGAAAACCCAGGGTACTCATCACTGTTCTTATTTGTTTTTTGGTCTCAAGTTTCTAGCTAGTCTGCTGTTTTCTCTCTACTTTTCAGAGTCTCATATATGGATATATGTTTATATCCATATATCTGGACTTTATCATATGCTATGTACATCCATCCTAGTGACCTAATCCTCTGTGTAATTTATTTAATTTCTTTAGAGAAAAATCTCTAGTCCCACACTTTTTTTTCTGGGATAAAGTTTTGGGGAATGGATCACCTGTTAATCATTTTGTTATTGCCCTATCTTACTCTCTTCTTCCATTGTACATGGCTGTCTGGACTCAGGAGAAACCCCAGAGTTCTGCCTGGGCAGGTTAGCTGAAGCATCTTCTCTTGTTACCTGTGTCTTCTTTGGCTCTACCTCAACACTCTGCATCTAAAAGTTTCCTGAACTCTCTTGAATATCTGTATCTTTTCAATTTTGGCTTATATCCTTTTATACTTTATTATTTTAATGGAGTCTAAGGAGGGAAATTGTGTGTGTGTGTGTGGTGTCAGTCTTGAACAGAAAGCTTCATGAATTCTTTCATTTATGTTGAATGTAATACTTATAAAGCATTAATGTGCCAAGATTTCAACATCTTATTTGCAATATAAATACACATTTTAATATAAAATTATGTTTAATATAAAGATAAATTATAGATAAATATTAAGATTTTCCATGAGAATGTGTAAGTTTGAAAAAACATGCAACTAGAATATATAATTCATGCTGAAGAGTTCTATAAATACATGTAATATCAAAATCTTATTTTTCCCTTGACTTCACTTTAAGAGCTAGATTAGGGAATTTTGGATCCAGGACAACTAGAACTAATATATTCCAAGTTAATATTTAAGTTATTTTAAAAATGAGGTTTTCCCTTGTGCTTGCTTTGGGAGTACATATACTAAAATTGGAAGAATACAGATTGCAAACTGAATGATAAAAAAACAAATTTCAACACCAAGAGAAGATTAGCATGGCCCCACTCAAGGGTGACATGCAAATTCATGAATCCTCCCATTTTTTAAAAAATGAGATTTTCCCATCTTTTCTATTTCTTATATTGTGACAGATGATCATCATAATGCGGTTAGGCCCACTACCACTTTCTGAAAAGACTTTCAAATAATTGACTTAGTTTTACATTCTTTCTATTAGGCTTCTATATGCAATTTTTCTACCTCACCCTAACCTTTAAGTATGAAAACTAGGAGAGTGGGCTGATGAAGCTTCTTCAATTGAAGGGCAAAATAGGATTCTAATTGGGTGTTTGGAAAAGCTTGGTGGTTTTTGCCCCCATCATTGCAGACCATGATATTGCTAACCAGCAGGAAAATACAAGACCAAAAGAGGTGTGTGTAGTCTGGGAAGTGGGGTGGGATGAGGGGAGTTGGTAGAGGTATGAGTCAGTAGAGGTAGTAATAGCGTCTATGTGGCTTTAGCATCTCTTCTGGGAAGTTTTTTGTTACAGGTAGAAATTTTACTATGTTGGTAAACAATTATAACTCGAACATGTTCCTGAGAGTTAGAGGTTGAAGAAAGCCAGAATCAAGACACAATGTAGAGGAATAGTAGGAGAAATTTATTGGCTTGTCTTCTGTATTTTGAAGGAGTTATATGCCACCCATCCCTCACACCTGAATTAGAAAAGATGAAGAGAATCTAGGGTATGAGTTCCAGCAGAGGTGGGGAAAAAAGACTAAGTGAATTGTGTTCTGCATGTTGAGGAGGGCCTGTGAGACCTTGAACAAGTAATTTAAATGTTGGCTCAATTTCCTCATCTGTAATATAGTAACTTGTTTTTGGCTATGTACTCTCCTTCCCACTCTATCCCTTAAACACTTTTAGGCCTTGATTGCTGAACGTGAAGGTGGGTATAGTACCTAAGGATGGGTGTTTAGTTGTCCTTATCTTTGGTATTTTGAATCTTGACATTCAGTACAGAGGTGGCTGGAGATGAGTTTCATGATGCCATACTCCCTAGATAAGTGATTTTCAAGCTTTACTAAGCTTCAGAATCACCTGGAGGGCTTAAAGTATAGATTGCTGTGTCTAATCCCTTCCAATTTGATTCAGTAGATCTGGGGTAGAATTGAGAATCTATTTCTATCAAGTTCCCAGGTGATTCTAATTTGCTCATATAGAGGCCACACTTTTGAGAACAATTGCTCTAGATCAGAAGTTTTATAAATCTCTATTGAAATATAGGCACACCTGTGCCTGTTATCTATGACTGCTTTCATGCTACAAATTTTGGTACAGTTGATTAGTTGCAACAAATACCATATGTCTTGCAAGGCTAAAATATTTACTATCTGGTATTCTTTTTAAAGATTTTATTTATTTGAGAGAGAAACAGCACAAGTGGGGGGAGGGGCAGAGGGAGAAGCAGACTCCCTGCAGAGCAGGGAGCCCTACTCCGGGCTCTATCCTGGGACGCTGGGATGATGACCCGAGCTGTAGGCAGACGCTTAACCGACTGAGCCACCCAGGTGCCCCTTTCTATCTGGCTCTTCACAGAAAGTTTGACCCCTGTTTTAGATCATTTCCTAATCTGGCTATATTGCTTAAACTCGAGTTGCCAAATGACAGATTACTACTCCAGAGGCTGCTTTTCTTGCAAGTTGTGCTCTATGGTTGCCCAAATACATTAGGTTCAAATCTACCCACCTTGTTCATTTGACAAACACATGGCAGTATGCTGGCTTCTGAGTATTTACGCAAAATCCAGACAATAAGAAATGGTTGGTTCATTAAGTAGATAAATGAATTGTCCTGCTCTGGGGATAGATATTTATTAATTTGTCATTTAAATCATTCCTCTTACTTGAGGCATGTAGTCAAAATCTTGTATCCAACTAATATTTCTAAATATTATCAAT